AGTATTACACAGTACGTTCAGGTTCTGCTCCTGTTGACAGATTGTAATAAGGCTCTTTTGCTAAGTACAGTACACAAAGAAATAGGCACAGAGTCAACACACAACACTGACAAGTTTAGAAGAGGAAGCAGGAAAAATATTTCCCCATGTGGTTACAAGATACTTCCCACCACTTTATATAGCATGGGTTCGTTTGCCATACCCATTAAGATCGCTGAATTTACTGCTGTCTTGGTCTCTTTTCCACCCTTCCGCTGGCACCATTCTCTGTGTTTTTTGTTATTGATTTGGCATTTCCATTTATTCTTCTGCAGGCTATTCAAATTATTTTAATACAACTCATAGGGAGCACACTGAAAAATTACTCAAAGATTCAGAAGATATTTGTCTGACATTCTACTCCCATATTCTACTGCAATAGCCCTGGATGTTTTCCATGAGGTTGGGAGGGGAGCCTGCCAAATACTGAACTAGCTTGCCAGGTGGCACAGAGTTATTTTTTTCCACCAGCAACTCAAAAAATACAACACAACAGACACAAATATTCTATGTGCTACATTCACAGGTCACACCTGATGCAGGGAAGTACTAAGTTTGTAAGGTAAGTTCATTCCTTTTAAATAAGCACAGACTGACATATGGCAGAATAAAAGCATTTGATCCAACAGTATTTCAAAGTGAAATTAAATAGCTGGAGATCCCCCATAGACAGATATCTGCACTTGAAATTTTTAGAATAATTTCATTTTCACTCTCTAAATGTGCAAATAGCTTGACTTTTCCTACACCAATCTAGGCTACTGGAGGAATAGACATGGGTACAGCACAGAGCTATGTCCATTTATTTACAAGCATTCAGAACGACAGCAAATCTTCACTCTCCAACTAACTTTAAAAATAATTTTTAAAAAGTATCAAGACCAAACATCTAAGAACCATGTCATATGCTCCCAAAATTCTGAGGTACTGCTAGGGAAAAATTTTGGTGGGAGTGTTACACACTTTTGAAGTCTCAAGATTTCACAGACTCCAGCTTCATTTTTTTCAAAAATAAGGACAAAAAGCCTACTTTTTATTAAAAGAAAACTCATAGTTTCTCATATGTATGTGACACTGAGCCTAGAGCATTAAAAAACCCAAACACCAAAAGAGTTGACAATGCTACATTTTAGTATCGTTTTATTAAAATACTAATCTTAAAGGCTGAAGGGATCAGTAAAGACAAACCAAGGGTGAAGGATATATATCAGAATGAGAAGTAACAGCATAAAAAAGAATGCTATCTGATTTTAAAAGGGAGTAAAAACATCCTGCAAAACAATATTCTGAAGAGACAAAAAAAACACCAAAACACTCAAAAACCATCAAATAAAAATAAAATAAACAAGAAGAAATGCAAAGGCAGGGAAATTCCCTTTTATGGACATTTCCAGTGACGTTTATTAAACTAAAAGTTGACTGAGTGGTTCCACTGAAAAGCCTGTAATTCAAAGTGAAGATCTCAGTGCTTTCTGGAAAAAAATCCAGCCTCCTTGAGGAGTTCGGAAGGTGAACACTTAAAGTGTTGACATTTAAAGATCACTTCTGGAAAACCTTTGTATGTAGTTGATCACATGTCAAATAGCATTTGGAAATATGCTAAGGCAACAATTCTCAAATGGGAAAAATATTGATTATTGTATCAATATTGTCACCATCAAATGCCACCATCAATAACAGATAATAAATTTTTACATGTATCATATGCAGCAACTTTAATGTAAATAGGCTTTTTCTATTGAAGGCAAAGGAGCAGAACACAGGTTTCTCAGAGAAAATTGTGGTCTGAGCTCCTCTGATACAAGTCTGGTATAACTGTACTGAACTCACCGGAGCTATACTTGCCTAGATGGAGTTTAAATTTTCTCTTGTGCACTTAGCACTTAAACAGGGATGAACACAAGAGAAACCAACATAATGTTTCATAAAAATATGCAAGTTGCAAGATACCAAGACAAGACTCTCTAAACAAGAAACATTTAAGGATCTTTATATAAATGCTAAAAAAAAAACAACCAACAAAAAAAACCAGGAAAACCACACCAAAATAAACCTCCAACTTTATCCCAGGTGCTTTGTTCATCTGCATAGTTATATCAAAGCCTCTCACATGATTTCTACCAAAATTACTAACTCAGCTTTACAAAACTCCCATCACCCATAGCACTAAACTTATCTTCATGTTAAACAAAATATCCTAAGTTTTTTCATTAGCTGCTCTTTTTTGTGCTTAATATTGGTATTTTTATTCTCCAGATGCTACTTTTCCAGACCATTTTAAAAAGTTGATTGACAGTTAATTTAACTTTGACAGTTATATGCTAAGTTTTAGACCTTGCTTCTGATTTCACATACAAGTTCCACTGCTGTAAAGCTTGCATTTTCATGAACAGAAATGGCTGAATGCAAAATACAGTTGTACATTCAAAGTGATTTGTATACCTTAACAACCAATATTAACTGGAGTCTGCACAGAAAGCATAAGCATTTGCACATCAAGGCCCCAAATTCCAAATTGTATTTGCTCCACTTATGTTTACAGGACTGTATGAGTATTTTTTTAATTCCCTAAAACTTTAAATACATGGTAAAGGATTATATTATATGCCTGAAGACACCTACAGGCATTTTCTGTGGAACTGTAGCTTCATAACAAGACCTTGAATTCCTTAATTTCCATTGAAAATGTGTAACTATTTTTGTCTGATAAAATTATGTCAGTTGGGAGGAAAGCTCTCCACCTATGACATCTTTGAGTTCTTTTAATTCATATCATATACTGCTTCTGAAAACCTGCCATTTGTACTGATTACCCATCCTAAAATCTAAATTGTGAAGAAGGAAGCTGGAGGACATGACTTAGATGTGCATTGAACTCAGAGATGAAGTACACTGAATGGAGCTATTGGTGCATGTTTCAAATACCACACAGCAATATCAATAGCTACAACGTTAGGACAAAGACATCTTGGTGACCTGAGGGACAAATGATCAAGTCACGCTGCTTGTAGACAGCAGTGTCATTGTATTCCAAGATTAGAACTGCATATATTACTAAATGTAAAGTTGCTAAGAGTAGGGATTATTCTCACCTAGCTTCTTCAAAGAGATTTTTCTACATACAAGCAATTTTAAAAATGTTAATGGTGAGAGAAACTGAACTGCCACAACTATGGGCTAATCGTATTAACGTGTCCACAACACCATAAAAATTTTGTGCAACTTTTCTTTAGCTACTCTTCATTATGGACATGTTAACAAAACCCTTGATTTGCTCAACACTATCAACTACCATAAATACTTCGCTGTTGCCAGTTTATTTACAAATCTTATTATCCACAACTAGAAGGTTACCTGTGTGCTCTTAAACATAGAAATTTTAAAATATTAAAAAATGGTTGTATGGTTTTGGGCTTCATCATGAATTCAAAACTCACCCCGAACTATTCATATAAGAAAGATTAAGTGTCACAGTTTTTAGAGTCCACATACTAAACCAAGATATGGTCTGTCAAGAATTGCCTTAGGACAAATACAGTAGGCCTTAAAAGCTATAAGAAGTTAAAAATATCATAGGAGCAACACAGGGAGGGTTTTAAGTTCTACATAAATGTTTTGCTTCCACTGGATGTCCACAAGTCAAGGATACGAGTATCCAGACTGGGACTCTTCATGCCACAAATCACTACTCATCTCCAATTTATGGTTTCTCTCCTTCGGAAACCCCTTAGGTTTCAACAGAATGCAGATTCTTTCAACGGGACTAGTAGGCTTTCTGCTACGTTCTCTCTCATTTCACTCCAGAGTAGAGTCAATTTGATTTAACTGACACCTGTTCAAGTTTTTTCAGCAGCTCTACCAAGTTCCATCAGAGCACTCATTTCATTACTGTTACATTAGCCATAATCACTACTGCCCACCAGTCAGTACGTACTGTGTGTTTCCAACCCTGCCTGACCTACAGAGTTCTGTCTTCTAACGAAACAGTAGAAACATTTAAGTGACCTGGATCTACACCTTATTTGTACAATAGCGACAGAAATAAATTTTGACACTGGCCACTGGTAAAGGCCACATCACACAAGATCTGCTTGAAGTCAACAGATCAGCTTGGATCTGTGGCTTATTTTTAAAGCTGTTTGCTTGCAGTTTATGTTGGTCATGGTGTCTGAAGCTGACAAACATCTAGGTAGTATTAAGGAACAAAACCAATATAATCTTGTTTTGAACAGAAAATTGGTTATCTTCAAGAGTTACAAGATTTCACAATAATTCTGTCATGATTACATAGGACATCTAAAAACAGTTCCTCATCTCCCAAAGATACAAAGCCATCTCAAAGAAATTACCAGGATCAAAATTACTTATTATGCAAGAAATATGCATTGAAATTGTTAGTTGACTTACATGTAGTTAAAGCTACAGAGTATTTTTTAAAAGGATATTTCCTTTTCATCACTATTCTCAAAATTAATTTTCCTGTCCAAGATTAAAGAGATATATGTTCAAAAATTCAGTCAGGATTCCTCACAGTCTTCTTTAGTCATCTCAAAGAGAAGTAAAACATCCTTTTCTCTCCCCCACCCCAAACCAAAGAGACAAAACATTAATTACAAAAATTGGTGTAAAATAGTGAATATATCCGGCCCAGAACACTGCGTGTGCAGGATTTTGCTTTTTATTATTTCATTATCTTCACACTTTTATCCAAACCATATTCCCCATGTGCTCCATCTGATAACTACTTGTACAATGAAGAAACGATACACTTCACAGAAATATGTATGAGAGCACTATGCTCATGTGTACTAAAAATTATTAGAAGTCATAATTTTAATGTTCCACTCCCAATAAAATAAAATAATAATAATTTTTAAAAAATCAGCATGCACTTTGGCATTAAGCCCTATAATTTTTTGCCAAAGAGTATCATTTAATAAAATAATACATTGTTGACTCACCACAGCATGTGCTATGTCTCATCTATAGGAAATAGTTCAAACACATCAACTTCATGCATGGATTGCCATAGCTGATATTTGAGTCTGGCCTGCTGCTGGTACAGGTTTCTAATACTAGCCCTAAGCACAAAAAAAAAGAAGAGGAAAAACATTTAGGGTTTATTTTTCAAGTCTCATAGACACAGAAAAAGTTAAGTAAAGAAAGCCCGGAATGTCAGTATTTGGACATCATATAACAAAGACTTAAGATTTTCCTCCGATAGCACCATAATGCATACAGTTACAGGTAGTATTTGTACCATAAATTTTCCTTCTTCCATACAAAGAAGAACAGCTAGAGATAGAAAATAATGCAGAACAAAGTGTTGTTTAAATGGGAGAGAGGTGTCACAGTTATTTTCCCAACGAAAAAAAGAAACATGATAAAAAACAAGGCAGGCACAAGAACTCATGTTCTAGACTGCTCAAATTGCAACAGATAGCTCTAAAAATCATAAAACTTCTATAATAATTATTTTTGTTGCTATCCTATCTTTTTCAGGTCAGATCCTGCAAATTTGTCTTTGGAATACGGAAGAGCACACAAACTTTCACTATAACAGATGGAAATTTATACACAGTCATTAATACCTGGGGGATCGAAATGAAATTCGACTCGCAACGTTATGAACAGCTTTAAAAATTGCGCTAAGGATATATACATTCATAAAAGGCCTGTGACTTCCTGTTGTTTATCAAATTAACATCCTCTTAAAAACAAAAACCAAAACGTGACAAAATATGTTCAACTGAAAAGGTGCTTGCAGTTAAGAAAATGTGGTATTAAGACAGTGAAGGAGGAACAATCAAGCATGTGCCACTCTGGTGTCCTAAGTACTGGACAAAATTCGGTGACTAATATTAGGCAACATTTTCTTACCACCGTTTCACAACATGTTTTCAAATAGCTCAGAAGAGAAGTAAAACTTTGTACTAAGTATAGAAGATTTAAAATCCTTATGAGAAAGCAACTGCTTAACCAGAGAGGGCCCACTACACTTCACTGAAATGCGGCAAGAGTTGCACATGTTCAGGCACCCTGAAATCCCACTTCAAATAGCAGTCCCTAATTTCCTGGGTTATTTGACCTCTTAGTGTAGAATCCTGGTGAAGCAGCTATTGACCTGAATGGAAGGCTCTTCTGGACCTCCAACTTGTACTGTTTATTACAATGTAAAAAGCTGACAGCAGCCCTGGGAGACTAAAACACCCAAAATTTCCCATGTCACTACTGTGATGGGAACGAGAGTCTGAACTTATGTGGTCATCAACTTCTTTCTTAACTTGGGCAGAAGAAAAACTTGGAAGCCTAAAAATACAACAGCTGCTTTTTCTTTTTCTTGATGTAACAAGGGCTCAGACTCTTGTCATATGCTCCAGGTATAGCCAGGGATATCCCAAGGATACATAAAAGCTCATGACTTCACATCCCTTCTGTAGAGAAGAAGCTGATGAGAACTCACTGCCACTAGTGAGTTCATGTACCAAATCCTTTATAGAAATCTCACTATATAACAAACAAACAAGACTGGAAAGTATAAGGACTTCAAACTCCCGTCCTTTTCTTCTAACAACCCAACAAGGCTGATTCTAAATCTTGCTAAAAAAGCTATGATTATCGGGCTAAAACACAGTATAACAGCTCAAGGAAAGCTGTGTAACTTTTGCAAACAGTGGACCGGAGACCATTAAATTCTGTCCCATCCCCTGTACTGCTTTTGATCTATACTTTAATCTCACTATCACAGCTTAAGAGTAAGGTAATATAGCCCTAACACCTGGTATTTCACACTCATTGAAGTTGTTATGTTGCTTTCCTTTTCAGACCATCAGTTTTAGATGGTTACTTGAGGGTTTTGGGTTTTTTTTTGTTCTGTGAAAGACTTGTTTTCCTTATGTTTGCCTCCATAGATGGTGCTGCAATAAATAAATAAATAACAGCAAATGCAGCATTTTTTCTTTTAACTGGTGCCCTTTTATGAGGGTTAATTTTTCTTGCAAGTGGCCTTCAAAACAGTAAGCATGCAAGAATCATAGAAAAGGTTAGCAAAATATCAGAATTGGAAGACAGGTTACATTTATATTCAGTATTGTGCTCCAGTGAAGTCTCTCTTGTTTTCTCCTGATGACACAACACAGCAGCAACTGTGGTAATACTGCAATCACTATGCTTTTAGGTCATGATTTCTAGTAGTGATATTATAAACTCAAAATGCAACCAGTGGAATAGCAGGGGCTACGGGTATATAAAGCTTGACATAAAAAAACCCAAAACAAAACAAAACAAAACACCCAAAACCCCACTTTCTTTGTTTTGAATATTTATCAACAAGCTGGTGATATTTTCTGTTGTTAAGGAATTGTCCAAAGAACCGGGTTGCTTCTACTGAACAACAGTTTAAGTGATAACCAATTTTAAAGCTGGGGACCTTTCTCTAAATGCAGCTTTTCTGCCTTCCAAATCTTAATAAAATTACAGTGTCATCTGCCAAAGCAATGCTAAACCCTTCTCCTTTGGCCCTGCTTTAGCCCTCCCTTAAATTGCACAAGTTTTGCAAGGGACTGCAAACTACAAGTGAGCTTTATGACAATCTCCAGTACCATGATACAATGATAGGGAAATTTTAATAGCTCTCCCTTTGCTTTCACAAGCTAGATCTGGTACTGTAACGCTGGAAAATATTTTTTCTCGTAATTATTGATCCAGTACTATCAAATCTCTAAATAATATCTGTAAACATGACAACCACTGACAGTGGAGGGAAAAAAAAAAAGAAGAAACTACAAGAAAACACTCATCCCCAAGGTCTAGCTCATAAAAAGCCCTTGCAGTGCACATATAGATTTCCAAAAATGAGAGGAACATTTTCTAATATCAAGCAGGCAGGCAGACAGGCAGCTGAAGGCAACTTATTTTTCACATTAAGCAAATTTTGCCCTCATCCCTGTAATTTTAATACTCATCATAATTACAACAGGACCCTGACAAATTCTACATATTTTCAAACAGCAGGAGAGAGCAGTGCTCAAGAGTGCAGTTTACTGAGAATGAGAGAGAAAGAATATTGTTTAATGGCTGAGGTCAAAACACCTTTGTCATTCACATATGCATCCCTAAAAGAAAAAGTCCTTATTTGAACCAGTCGAAAAGGTATTTCTGTGACGTCTTTCTTGGCAGGAAGAGTGAGCACACGGCAGAAGCCCCACAGAAGAAAACAGTACTCCAGAGTGTCCCCCTGGCTAGTGACTACAGAGCAGCATTCTGACAGAGGGTTAAAATATCAGAGGTTTGGTGCACTCCACTTTCCCCAAGGCACGGGAACCAAAGACAGCTTGTACGTGGGCAAAGAAACGGTCCTGTGCAGTGCCAACACCATCCTATCTTAACCTTTCTCTTTTTCTGAAGCTGGCCTTGCAGGACAAGCTCTGTGTCCTCCAGCAAGCTGATTTCAGGCTTCTCATGATCATCTACAATATCCTAATTTGCATTTTCCTCCTAAAAAAAATTCTACGCTATGCCATAATTTTCTTCAAAATCTGTATTTTCATATAGTGTTGGTCTACCTTTAAACAAATCTCTGGCAAAACTCACAGTGAACATGTCAGAGGAGGGGAAAGCTGCACTGAGGATGTCATGAAGCTATGCAGCAAAAAGAGCCCATGTAAACAAGCTTACAGTCACTCAGTACATGAATGGTGTGAACCATGCCTGTCATGGTTCACTGGAAGCACCGCCTGCTTATTAAACAATGCTGTAACACTTAATTATCCAAGTCAAATTCGTATTATTTCTGATAAGACCTCTCTGCAGTAAAAAACAAAACCAACATTTCTTCCTGTAGCTTTTCTGCCAGAGGATTTCCCTGCAAAGCAACATTGATTTCACTGCAGTATCTACAGACTGTTAATTCTCTTTTGCAAAATAACTGGCTGTAGGACGCTGTAAACGCTTCTTCTAAAAGCTCTTGGTGGTTCTGGAAGACCAAGAGAGTAATGCAGAAGAGTGATGATTACCTTAAAAGACCACTTTCTTATAAACAACTCCCATCTCCACATCCAACACAGTTTATCAAAAACACTCACTTCTCCCCATACACAGTTTTTTTCTTTTTTTGTCATTCAACCACTTTGCAAAAGGCCAAGACTTCTGTCCTCTGGATCTCCTAGTTTACCATTATTCTCTCTTCTTTATTTTTATAAATTCAAATTTTATATGGCTCTGTATGGACTATGTAACCCAAGTAATGTACTCATTTCTACTGAATAGCAAGCCAAGACACCTCCTTCCCCCAAAAGCCCCCAAGCAGTGTTATAGGTTATGAGGCTGAGTGAAACACTACTGTTTACATGAGCCAGCTGGTAAAACACTATCACACTCCTGTCCATGATGTGCCTCTGCACTGCTCTCACAACCACTGGTCACCTAAAGCACCCAAACAGAAAAGCTCATGCACACCTAAACACAAGAGAACGGTGGTTCTCTGGCCACAAAATGTACAGCTGCAGCCTTCTTGTTTGGTTAGCAGTTTACTTCATTAACCTGTCTCTCTCTCCCATTTATTTTTTTTTTTAAACAGCAATCAATATTCATCACCCCACCCTGCAAAAGCAGTTAGTCATAGAATATTAGCATCAACCACCTACCATTCCGTGCTTGCGAGCTATTCTCCTCGTCCAGAAACCTTTCCCCCAAACTGCGACTTTAGGTGGTATTTTTAAAATCACATTCCAAACAATGCCGAGATAAGATGGGCTATTTATAAAAATAATAAAAAATAAAAAAGATGGGCAGTTGGATTCGAGGTAAATCACCGTTTTCCGTTAAAGAATTAACTAGAAGCCTGGGGGAGATGATAGAGCAGAACAGAAAAAGGGGAGGCAAAATATCTGATAATAATGAAATAAAAGAGAGGAAAAAAAGAGTGGCTTGCTGAATCACGCTCTTTCACTGCCTGGAAACCATTGTGCAGCGTGATGCTGGCTGTACCATTGTGGAACCTACCAGAGGAGACAGGCAGGGAGCTTGGGGAATGGGGCTGCTATGGCAACTGAAAGGAGCACACATGACGTCAAAGCACACAGAGGTCTCGCAGGGGGAGGGAGAGAAAAGTCTAATCTGCAGGCACAGCTAACCGTATCTCCTGGTGAATCAGGGGACAGGGCAGGCTGCAAAGGGAAGCTGAATAGGCTTCTGTAGCATACCAGCAGCAGCAGCCAAAGCATCTGCTGCATCAGGGAGCTAGTCAGGACATAGAGGAGGTAGTAATAGCAGTGCAGATCTGCTCTTTTGTTTACATTATTTGCTATACAAAGGCATAAATGCCCATCACCCTAAAAAAAAAAAAAAAGCCACATATTTGAAAATCATTTCAGTTTTAGGGGATGTGTGTGTTAAAAAAAAAAAAAAAAAACAACACACATCTCCTTCATAGCTAGTGAACAGAGCTATTCATGCTCGCAAATATGAATATAGTGCTCGCATGAACAAGCAATGTAGGTCTGAGAACAGAGCCCCTCAGAAGCCCAAGGAACCACTAGAGACCTCCCCATGAGCAGAATGTTGTGCCCACTACTAGAATGCCCTAAATCCCCAGACTAAAATCTTGCCACTTCTAAAAGGTCCCATTGCACAGAGGCTATATTGCATTTTGAGCTCACAGAACCAGCACAGAACCAGAACCCGGTCACGATTTCTGATGTCGTCAGGTTTAGAAGTTATGCAGACATTTCTTCTGCATACATCAAACTGCAGGATGCCTCTTCTCTTCTGACATTAAACAGCAAAGTGCACTGAACTAGACTTCCATAAGATTTAGGCTGGGATAAGAGCTAGCCAGAAATATTATGGTGAAATTTAATCTTTCTGGAATACCTTTGAAAAACAAACCATTTCATTCAGTGTATCGATTATGCTGGTCAAGAAGAGCTCCAAGGAACTCAATTCATCTTTCCTGCCAGTGGTCTGAATATTCCGCAGGCTTTACCATGGCCAGAGCCAAACACAGTCCTGTGTGACCTGTAACTCTAGCACAGACATTATCTAACTCAGGTTGGGTAACTCTTACCTTTCAGAGGACCATCCAAATGTATTTAGCAAGGCTGTACACTGACATGTAACACTGTTGTGGTTTAGGCCCAGCCAGCAACAAAGCACCACGCAGCCATTCACTCACCCTTTCCCCCTGCGCTGGGAAGGAGAAAATGAAGGAAAAGGCTCTGGAATGGAGAGAAGGGCAGGGAGGGGTCACTCACCCATTATGGTCACAAGCAAAAGGCAGGCACATTAGGGGAACAAAAAAGGACATCACTAATTCAAAACACTAAACCCAACAATCAACAGACAGAATGGGATGGTGATAAGATTTACCGTATCTTAAAAACACCTTCCCCTCACCCTTCCCTTCTTCCCCCACTCAGCTTTGTTCCTGATGTCTCTACCTCCTCACCCCAGTGGTGCAGGGGATGGAGGTGCAGTCAGTCCACCACTTCTTCCTCCAAGGTGAGGGGAAGCACTCTTCTGCATTCTTCCCCCTGCTCCATGGGGCGTCCCTCTCATGGGAGACAGTCCTCCACAACTCTCTGCCATGAGTCCTCCCCATGAGATGCATTCTTCTTGAGATGGTCCAGCACAGGTCACCTCCACGTGTTGCAGTCTTGCCAGCTCTGAGCTACAACAGCGAGGGCTGCTTCTTCCCACAGAGTCCAGGGATCCTCCCCAGGGCTGCAGTTAAATCTCTGCTCCTCCAGCCATTCCCATGGGTGTCAAGGTGGGCAGCCCTGCCATCTCACCATGGGATACAGGGGGGTCTCTGCTCCAGTGTACCTCCCCCTCTTCCTCCTTCCTTCCACTGACCTCAGTGTTTGCACAGGTGTCCTTCTCGTAACACCTCCCCGAAGTCTCCAGCCCCCTCAGGTTCCCCTTCTTAAATACATGATCACAGAGACACAGCCACCATTGCGAATTGGCTTGGCCTTGTCCAAGGGAGGTCTGACTTGCAGCTGGGGGAGCTTTGAGAAGCTTCTCACAGGGACCACCACTGTAGCCCCCTCCTCCACTGTCACAAACCCCACCACTCAAACCCAGCACAGACGTGATCCATACACACTTAAAATGTTTAACGTAAAATGGATGAAGTGAAGCCATTGGCTGTTTTGGGCCCCTGAGCTACAGGTTACCCATCCTTCTATTAACTATATCATGTTCCTCCATCCTCCTTTGTTCATTAGCCTGTTTCTTCTGTATGTTCTGCTATTGACATCTAGTTTTTGGAAGTGAAGGTTTTCATCTTGATCTGTATATCATTTGTGCATACATATATATATGCATGAAAGCCTGAACCAGTCCTCTAGTGATAAAAAAATATATAGTTTCGACTTTCTCACACTGGGTTTTTTGGGGGGGTTTGTTTTGTTCTGTTTTGGGGGTTCTTTTATTTACTTAACAGCTCTATCACAAGCTAGGAATCACCACAGAATGTTCTGCCCATGGTCCACCTTATACTACAAGGCGACTGGATGGGACATAGTGAAGAAGAATGCATAGGTACATTATGTGCCTGGAGAATGTCCTGCCAGTGTCACCTGTGTCCTGAGGAGGCATGAAGGGCAGCAGGGCACAACCTCCACTGGAGTTTGCAAACACCTGCACAGCAGACTTAAACTATGTCAGGCAGTTTTAGTGTGTCAGTTAACTGGCCCCAGTAACCATAGCATATTTCACAGAATCACAGAATCATCTCAGTTGGAAAAGCCCTGGAAGCTCCTCCAGCCCAACCATGATCCTCCCCCTGACCGTTCCCAACTCCCCCAGATCCCTCAGCGTTGGATCAACCCGACTCTTCAACCCCTCCAGGGATGGGGACTCACCCCCTGCCCTGGGCAGCCCATTCCAACGCCCAACAGCCCCTTCTGCAAAGAAATCCTTCCTCAGAGCCAGCCTGACCCTGTCCTGGGCAGCTTGAGGCCATTCCCTCTGGGCCTGGCGCTGGCTCCTTGGCTCCAGAGACTCATCCCCCCTCTCTGCACCCTCCTGGCAGGGAGTTGCAGAGGGCCAGGAGGTCTCCCCTCAGCCTCCTCTTCTCCAGACTGAACCCCCCAGTTCCCTCAGCTGCTCCCCAGCAGACCTGTGCTCCAGACCCTGCCCCAGCTCCATTGCCCTTCTCTGGACACGCTCGAGTCACTCAATGGCCTTTTTGGGGTGAGGGGCCCCAAACTGAACCCAGTCATCGAGGTGCGGCCTCACCAGTGCCGAGTACAGGGGCAAGATCCCTTCCCTGTCCCTGCTGGCCATGCTATGGCTGACACAAGCCAGGATGCCATTGTTCCTCTTGGCCCCCTGGGCACACTGCTGGCTCCTGTTCAGCCGGCTGTCAATCACCCCCCAGGTCCCTCTCTGACTGGCAGCTCTCCAGCCACTCCTCCCCAAGCCTGTAGCGCTGCTGGGGGTTGTTGTGGCCCAAGGGCAGCCCCCGGCATTTGCCCTTAGTGAAACCCCTCCAGTTGGCCTTAGTTGACCAGGTAAGCTTCAGAAATCTAGTTTACTAGACTTCTTTTTTTTTGAGTGGTGGGGAGAGGAGGAGGGTTAAGTAAAGGAGCTGCAAGATACATATCAGAAACTACAATCAGCAGTAACTACACGATATTGAAACAAACCCCCCAACCCAAACCCTCATCAGAAGATGGACAAACCAAAAAAAAAAAAATTTAAACAGTTTTCACATTGTCATTTAATAAATCAAAAATTTCATTCCCTTTTTGTCTCTGTAACCATATTATTCTTTCTCCCATACCACATCTAATCTCTTAAGGCATCTAAGACATTATTTTCTGCTACCATCTAACTGTCACGTTTGCACAAGAAGTACAACTTCTGCTTCCAGCATAGATGGGCAATAAAACACTCCGAGAAAGGCTTTGTGGTATTCTGTAGAACCTGGAAGAGACAAGAGAATACTGTGAAAAATTATTTCTTTTGTGCTTACAGTCTTCTTCAACATGACTCTAGAAATTAGGCAAAATATGAGAATGAAACGACGTCTTTGAATGAAGCCTACAAATTAGCCTCTTTTTGGGGGGGTGTCCATTTATTGCAAAAAACTATTAAAGACTTTTGCTCATTTGGTGAAAGACTCCACTAAGAAACCATACACAAATACATATACACATATATGTATGAGTTTATTACTAAGCTGGAGCAAAGGGGGATTTTTTTTTTTTCTTAAAAATATATCCATACATATATTTTACCTGTATTACCTAAGATGTTCAGGATACATTCAAAAATAGTTTTCCTGGAAAAGAAACATATTGTGAGAGACAGTAGAACAGAGAATATATTTGAAAATATCATTAACTGAGCATTCATTGGTACATAAGGGGGAGGGGTGGTTGCTTTTGACACACAGTTATGAGACTGAGGTTGGGGGAAGGGAGAAGAAACAAAAGAGCCTAAGCTCTTGCAGGGGTGACAGAGGCTTTGCAGTGTAATTAGAGTATTTGTCATTGGAACAACAGATCTAATGGAAAATAGCATCTTTTCAGATTATGCCTTTTCTGATGAAGGGATGCTGCTTCCTTGAGCTCAATAGCTAAACCAGCATTTCACTCCACGCTCATCTGGAGTGATTACAGTTCACTCCTTCCAGTGTCCTGCTGAGATGGCTTACTGGCTGGGCCAAGATATACCAAGATGCTGTAAAATGCATTCCAATCTGGAATCAGGCCACAGATAAACACACTAATGGCCTGACACACTGCAGAAAATTTGAGTCAAACAATTTAAACAAATCATTTTAGGCACCTGTTTCCAGAATAGCTGCCCCAATCTTATCAGGCAGATATTCTCTCCATGATAGGTAAGAATAGAAGTGGGGATGGTCTAAATTTAAGACAAACTGGACCGAAGCAGATGTTTACAACATGAAGACAGCTACAAAGGTCACCATGAACCAATTAAATTCATTTCAGCTAAGCTCTTGTACACCCTCTTTGTGCCTCTAAACCACTCGTGTTGGCCTTTTTTAG